TCTATCCAGCCCTCCATCCATCTATCCATCCATCCATCCTTCCATCCATCCATCCATCCATCCATCCATCCATCCATCCATCCACTTGCCTGTCTAGCTATCTATCTCTCTTCTTTCAAGTATTCATCTCTTACAGATCTCTTCATGATTATCTACATTGTGGAACAGAATGAAAAACAGCACAGGTTTCAACCTCAGCATCAAAATCTTCTGCAGAATCTCATTCCTCTACTTGTTAAAAGATACCTTAAAACAGGAAAAATGCTACTGACTTTAAAGTCTGTGCTTCTCGATCAATTTGTGTTATTTCCTTCTTTCCCTAACCAAGTTGATTGGCAAATATAATCTTAAAATATTACTCTCAAGTGCCCTTCATTTTTTATGCATTCTTTTCCTTTTAAATAACCCTCTGGCCTGTGGGATCAGATATTTTCATTTTAACAACAGAGAGAAAGTATGAGAGTGTCTGAGAATGATATAAATACTCATAGTATTTATGTGACTCTGAGAGTGTCTGAGAATGATATAAATACGCTGAGAAACAGCCCAGTGACTCTCGTGAAAGGAATGGAGGGGCAGGGCATGTATGAGATTTTCCTGAAAGAAGAGATATCTTTTCTTCCTATTATGCTAATGAAACGAGCAGGTGTCACATGTATTTACAGACTCGTCTCCGTCATTAACACATGTCTGGTGTGGCTTTGCTGTTAGAGCATCAGGGAGTCACTTCCATGATTTGCATCATGGACCCAGAAGGAAACATGGAGATCATCCAATGGCCTTATATCAAGAGGGGAAACTGAGGCTGGATGTGTGACTGATATCACAGCTATTCAGAAGCAGGGTTGGGGCCACAGAGCCAGTCCCGGGGCTCCCTCTTCTGTCCTGACTTCCTGTTTCCCCTGACCCTTGGTAACTACACATTCATTACACACCTCATGGGTTCTCCACTTCCATTTCTTACGAGGCCAGATATGAAAGACAGACCTGGTGTGGCCCACATGTGGGACCAGAGTGATTGGCAAACAAGGGTGTCTGACCTGATTTCGAACACAAGCGCCTTCTAGCATATTTAGGCATGCACAGTGAATACCGTGGTCGCTGGAGAGAATTCTACGGGACGGCTTACTAGTGAAGCTTCACTTACTATGTGCTAAAGGAGTCGGAACAATTTCATAGCAAATCTCCTAAGGATGAAGGGAAGGAGGCCTTACAGCATGTGCAGCCAATTCCCCTGGAAAGCAAAGGCAGTTTCTCTAAACCGGGTGGTTCTTAAACCCAAGTTAAGTCTTCTACCTGTCAGCCTTGATAGCTTACTTGGGCAGAACTGTTAAACGGGGTGTGCCGTGCTCGCGTTGGGGTGGGTGGACATGCAGTGGAAACATTTTGAAGACCAGGGAAGTGTGGTAGGTTTGTGCAGAATACCCACATTCCTTAGAGGCGGATCGCGAGGGGCATGGCCCCCACGTCTGTAAGGGGCGCCCTGCAACCCATGTGGCCTGTTGGCTCAACGTCTTCATCAATGAGTCAATGCATTAAATTAAGAGAATATCTCTGCCGGCTTTAGGATGCCCCCAAAGACCCTCCTTCCACTCGGCCTATATTTTAGTTGGAAGGCGAAACACTGTACATAAAAATAGTACTAATAGTAATCATGGGTGCTGCCCCCTAGCGGTGGTATTGGGCATGCAATCCCAGTTTCTTAATTTCTTACTGGCTACGTTTTCTTAACCCAAAGCGGCAGGCCCCAAACGGTCCTGAGGGGTTAGGAATTCATGATCCGAATCCCGGGGGACCCGATTCAGTCCATTACAGGGAGAGATGGCTCGAAGAGGGCACGGCGTTCTCTTAGGGTGTGAAAATATTCTAAAATGCACCGTGGTGGTGGATGCACTTCTCTGAAGATACCAGAAGCCGATGAATTGTCGGGTTTCACTGGGTGAATGGTCTGTTCTGGCAAAAGTATAACTGGGCAGGCTCAGCGCGGGGAAGGCAGATCCCTGCATACACAGGGCAGAGTTCTGCTGCAGTTGGCAAGACTGCCACCAAAGGGGGTGGGCACGGGTCTCCGGAGGCCAGTCCCAAGGTGGGCAGCTACTGCAAGGCAGATTGTGTGATGCTGGGGTGGTGGTCTTCCTAAAAGAAAGGGAATGGGGTGCTTTTCTTCCTTTTCTCCTCCTGTTGCATAGACCACACAAACATCATCGTCCACACGTTTGCCAGCAGGGATGGGGTAGAAGCCTGTGCACTGTGAATACACACTAAGCTCCCCATGTGGGTGAATAGCAGCCCCAGGGGCAGAGCTGCTACATCCTAATTCCCAGTATTTGTGAACAGGACCTGTGACTTGGAAACGGGGTCTTTACAGGTGTAATTACTTAAGGATCTGAGATGAGCTCATCCTGGATCGGGGTGGCCCTAAATCCAAGGGCAGGTGTCCTTGTAAGAGACAGAAGAGGAGACACAGACACAGAGGAGAAGCCACGTGAGGACGGAGCCAGAGATGGGAGGGACGTGGCCACGAGCCCAGGGACACCTGAGCCCCGGAAGCTGGAAGAGGCAGGGAGGACCCTCCCCTGGAGCCTTGGGAGGGAGCATGGTCCTGCCCCGCCTGGAGCTCAGTGGTCCTGCCCCGCCTGGATCTCAGCGGCCCTGCCCTGCCTGGATCTCAGACTTCTGGTCTCCAGGACTGAAACGGAAGAAATTCCTGTTGTCTAAAGTTACTCCATTTGAGGTCCTTTGTTCAGGCAGCCCTAAGAAAGGAATACACCCACCCGCCAGAGTGCTGCGTTGTTTGAACATTTCAGTTTAGGACCCTGCTTCCCGATCAAAAAATAATTTCTTGGGTGTTCAGATCTGATGCGCTAAGGAATTTCCCAGTACAGGCAGATTTTAAATGCATCATTCAGCCAGATGCAGCCCCTTACACACATACACACACACACACACACACACACATGCACGCACGCGCGCGCGCGCGCGCGCACACACACACACACACAGCACCAGGACCCCCACCATCACCAGGACATTATACCTGAGCGTATCGTTCCCATAGCAACCAAGGTCCCCAATGCCAAGATCGTCTGCCATTATCAGTAGAATATTGGGTTTAAAGGCATTTGCAGCTTTTAACTCGGAAGTCCTCGAGAGCAAACACAGAAGGAGTAGAACCGACAAAGAGTCCCTGGAGAGACAAACAAAAAGGCCAAAATTAACGTCGACGATTTAGGGAATGTTCAGTCGGTATTTCAAAGCCGCTTGCTGGGAAGGCACATGCATTTGCCCTAAATTGGGTTTACCGAGGGATCCCATCTAGGTGCTGGTTCCTTTTGTTCTGACTGCTCGCATACTAACACGCGGAGCAGAAAACGGGAACGCGCGAGGATTTTGCCCAGGGACCTCCTCCCCTCCCCTTGGTCATTAATCCTGCTACCTGTGTGGGGAGCTCCCTAAAGGGCAGGGTCAGAGGGCTGAGCGCTTGCCTTCCGGGCCGCGCCTTCCTCCCTTTCCCGGTGCACAGGCGGCCAGAGCGCGCCTTCCGTCCCCGGAGCGACCGCACAGGAGGGAGGCGGAGGACCCAGAGGGCTGGAGCGGCGGGAGACATGCATTTTAAGGAAGAATGTGGGATTCAAAGCACCCCAGCCACGACAGGGAGACACGGCACTGCTGGTGTGACCCAGTAGTGACAACACGGGCTTGCAGCGCGCGTTGCCAGCGAGGCCGGGGCGCACCCGCGACCGCGCGGGACAAGGGATCTGGGGCGTCCCGGACGCGGATCCCCGGCCCTGCCCGCCCCATAAAGCGGGGGGGACGCGGGGCCTGGAGCGCCCTGATCCTCATTCCTGGCTCCTGGCTGGCAGCGCGAGCGTGCCCCGGGGTCCCCCAGCAGGGCCCCCAGCGCTGTCCGGTCCTCTGATTGCGCCCTGGTGCGCCAGCAGTCCGGAGCAGGGGGGCAGGGACTGGAAAGGCGCGGCGGGACAGGGCCTAGGTGGGGCGTTAAGGGGGTGGCCGCATTCCGGGCGGGGAGCGGGCCTGGTGCGTCTTAGAGGGCGGTGGGGAGGAGTGGGCCGGGGCGCGGCCGAGGGGGTCTTGGGGGACTGGCCGTGTTTTCGGGATTGCGGCCAAGGCTCCGCTCGGGCTGGCGGCCCGGGCCAGGCAGGGGCGGGGCCGTGCAAAGAGGAAGAGGCGCGCTCCGGGAGGCGGGCATGCAGGGCCTGGGCCGGACGTGTCTCAGAGTGGGGGAGGGTGCGGCCGCGCTGGGATGGGGGCGGGGAACGGAACAAAGGGGGGATGGGGGAAGGAAAGGAGCGGGGGTGGGGGGACGCGTGCTAGAGAGGGAGACGCGGCCGTGCTGTTGGGGGGGTACGGAATCAAGGCGGGGACCGGGCGTGTGGTAGCGACTGGGGTTTGCGGACACGTGCTAGGGGGGCACGCCGCAGCGCCGTGAGGGGGAGAGTGTTTGGGGGGCATGTCTTGCTCGTGGGGGCTACTCGGGGCGAGGGAGCGCGTCCTGCGCAGTAGGGGATGGCGACCAGGCCTCGTTCTGCCGGGGCGTGGCCTCCGAGCACCAGCCTGGCGGTTCCCCTTCCGCCGGCCGCCCCCCCTTCCCTCCGTCTGGCCTCCTCTGCCCTCCCCTCCGACGTCAGCTCTCCGGTCCCGCGTCCCTCCGACTGCGAGACGGACGCCTGGCTGTGTTCTGGTAACTCCAAGGAGGACACACCGCCCGCGCGTCCCGGAGGCCACTCTCGCCCAGTGTGCACCTCCCCCAGCCCCCCAGCCCCGTCCCGAGTGGGGGACGCGTCCTCGGGCCCCGCGCACCTGGCAGCGGACGCGCTGCATCCCCTCGGAGCCCTGGGTCCCATGGCCGCGCGCGGGCCGGGCGCGCAGGACCTCGTCCCCAGCGCCAGGTGCCCGGACCCGCCCACGCAGCGGAGCCCTGCCGGCGGGAGGGCCCTGTCCCGCCCCAATCCGTTTCATGTCCTGTCGCCCCAGGCCTTCCGGGAATTGATCTTTCCGAGTCCCAGTCACCTCCGGGCGGGCACTCCCGGGATATACTGGGGTGGAGGAGAGGGTGCTAAATCCCGGCTGGGCCTGCGCTCGGGGAACCCCAGCAGCCCTCGGCCAGGGAGCTCCCTTTTCCAGCAAGCTCTCGAAAGGTCTGGGGACTGGCCGCGTGCAAGCAGGCTACCTGGATGCGAATTGTTTCACTAGGGTCCAGGATGCCAGCCCCCTTCTCCATGGCCAAGGTGGGGGCAGGGCTTAGATGCCACCTAGGCTAGTTAGACCCGCACCCAGGGACTTGACATCGGGGGTCTACCTGGTAGTCATATCCACGTCCTCGACCCCATTAGCTGCCCCGAGTTCTCCTTTTCCCTTTCCAACTCAGTTCTGCATTTGGGGGAGGTAGTGATTGCGAATTAAGGCTTGCCAAAAGCTTGGGG